GACCATAATTTTGACAACCCCCCTACATAACCCTTGCCTGAGGTCTTGGTCCTGCTTGGTTGGTCTGCTTCGGAACCTCCTTCGGCCGCGGCCTGAGCCGCGGCAACACGCCCCCTCCTGGCCAGTCCGTTACCAGGTTGCACCCTTAGGCTTAAATAGGGATCATATATGGATTATTTAAAGGGGGTACTATCCCCAAGAAGGGAAAATAAGATGGAAGGGAACATGGAAATGAAATGGAAACTAGCGTATGTTTGGTTATTTCGGGGTCATCTAGGGTTTAACGATGTTGCCTTCAAATGAAGACTCAATTGGTCAAGAACATGGAAACTAAACCCAAATCTGGGCTTATACAGGGGCTTATAATGAAGACGGCTTCTTTATAGAAGTCGGGCAGGTGTGCGCTTCTACCGCTGTTTCTCCTTCGACGGATCGGCTCACTGGCCATGGAGCCTCAGATTGCTTGGAGCCTGGAAAGTGTTGATTGGCGCAATCCAGTCTGCCATGTAAAGCTATGTTGAACGCAGAAGATCCAGTCATGGCATAAATCTCTATATAACCAAAGACATTGTCGTTTCCATGTCATGTAATGTGATGGGCTGCTTGCCAACAGAGCAGTAGTCTCCTGACCTGGCCTTGCCCAATAAGGCGGAGCATGACTGCCCACAGGCTTCAATCAATCAATCAATCCATGTCATGTTCCATGTTCTTTTCCATTTGGTTCTCCATTACTACGGGTGATACCCCCAAACCCTAAACCCCAAATAGGTAAGGATGCTTAAAAGATGGTAGTCTCCACGTTCTTTTCAATTCTCTTTGTATAAGCTCTATACAAGCCCAATATTATTGGGGATGATATCCCTAAACCCTAAACCCCAACTAGCTCCCCAAACCCTACTGCATGTAACCCCCGAACCATGTACCACGTATCAATGAGCCCAGTTATTGACTGCTTCAGGTGCTGGAGTTGGCAAAGATCTCAGATACAGACACGGCTTTCATGCATTCCTTCAGGGCTCATTTATGTATGATATATACATATATATATGTGGGCTACTCTAGGGAATAATTTGGGCTACTATAAGGAAGACTTCATAATACAGGATGATTTTCCCAGTCTCGTCAGTCTCGTGAAATTGCAGCACCTTGCATGGCCATCCTGGCATTCAGGTGCATCCTTTGCAGCCCCTGCCGCATGGCCTTGTGGCCCTGGTGTCTCTGTTCTTGGCCGTGGTTTTGCCGTGCGCCTTCCCTTGGCCTGCCTCCCTGCCTTACGCACGCTTAGCGGTCCAGCTCTGCCTAATTCTCCTGAAGGTTCAAGGTTAAGGTGAGCATACAGTCGGCAACTTGCGGAGAGTAAGCGCTGCACTGGCCGCTATTGTTTGCTTTGCGCAGTGTTTGGCCCTGGCCTTGGCTCAACATGAAAGGACATCATTGACAGTATCAGAACTACCTGCACACTTGCACGGCCTCAAGGCCTGTAGTATGACAAGGAACCAGCATCAACTGGCATGCATGCATTGCATTGAGATACCTGTAGTCATTGACCGTTCCAGCAGTCAGCCCATTTTCCATCAGCTTTTTTGGTAGCGAACATGTAATGAACAGCACTGGCAGTTGATTGCAATGCAGGACTGTTGTGGCCAGCTTTTGCTCGCTTTGTCTAGTTCATCCCTGCAGTTGCCCCACCAGGATTCTGCAGAGGCTCTTCGCCAGCAAGGTGTGCGGCCTCTGAGGCCAAGCTTCCTGTCACTTACAAGCCACAAGCATGCGATGCAATCCCGCAAAGGCCGACCTATCATGAGACTCCACTGTGCTCCATCGGAAAAACCGTTCGGGACAGGACCCAAGGCAAAATATGAACAACACCACGCCTGCAACTTGAGTCGAGGTCAAGTTGCCAGCCGGCCAGTTTCGCCGTGCCATCGTAGAATATGTGAATGAGGATGAGGCCACAGTCGGAGTCTTAGCATCCAGTTGGCGCCTGCGCTATGTATTCTACTCACTGGCACCATCCGATATCCTGCGCTAGTCCACGGCGCTTCGGTTACGTACTTGATGAAAAGGCTGCAAACATTCATTTCAGGTAGATGTCGCCTTCGCTGGGGCTGCTGTGAATACCGCAGAGGTACTTCTGGCGCGTCTTAGCACGCAACACTTTTCCGTGATGTTCCATGTTCCAGCTTTGGTGGAGGCCCAAAGCATCTCCGAAGCCACCGTGAGCATTGACAGCTTGAGGCCTAACAGACGCTGCCAAGATCTGTAGCTGTAGCGGATTGAGTAGCAAAAGCACGCAAAACGAATCACAATGTTGGCTTGGGCTTGCATTGTCTTAACCCATCAGGCCTCTCCAAGATGAGGAACTTCGCTTTGACGTCGCCGAGGCGTTTGAACAGCCTGGCGCAACTCAGAGTGCGAAGGCTGGCTGCGGAAGCCTTTTCCTGTGCCGACTGTAGGCGCATGACGTGCGATCAACAGATCTAGCGTATGGGACTTCAACTGGGATTGAAGTCCTCTATCAGATGACTACATATGTCCAATTGAAACCTGAAGGATGTGGGTAATACTCTCTTCAAGCTGGGCGATATGGAGGCCCGAAGCTGGGGCAATAATACTACAATAGTGCTAACATTATATTAATAACAGGATCAATACTAGTAGTAAGAATAGTAACAATATAGTAATATCAATAGTAATAATGATAATATGTAATAATAGTAACATGGACTTGGGCCAAGCCAGGCAGCAGCAGAGTTCTACGGGAAGGCGTTACAAGTCCTCGAGCGCTGTGAGGACAGACTGCATCTTAATGGGATATATAGTCCCTGTATGAGCTATAGTCTAAACTCCTTCAAGCAGGGCTATGTGGAGGATTATATAGGGGATTACTATAGGGGTTATTGAGGAGGGTACTAGGAGTTTAGACAGTAGCTCATACAAACCCTATGTGGAAGGTGCCCAAAATTTAGGGTACCTGTTTTGGGGGTTCCTATAGTAAAGACTTTAGGGATTTTGTGGTCTATAGTGGAGTCCCCATAATTTAGGGAAACTACCATATATACCCTAGTGTAACATAGTATGTTCCATTTTCTTTTCCATTCTCGCTATATAATCCCTATATTCATAGCATGGCAAATTCAAACGATGGAGCGTTGGCAGGACACGGTTGGATGGGTGTTGGCCAATCGAAGCTCGGCCAAACTGGATAGTCATGGCTCCCTGAAATGGCACCCCGAAGTAATAGAAATAAGACGAATAACGCTAACAATAATATTAATAGTCATAACATTAATAGTAGTTAAAGGGCCGGAGAACCCCACATGTGTAGTTTAACCTGAATCTAAGTGAACTGATATGCCGTCGCCAGCCGAAATAGGAGGACATGTTTAAAGAGAAGATGAGAAGACATAACGAGAATCCGGAATGAAGCGATGGCGTGTTGCGCGAGCGCGGAGGAAAACAAAGTTTTACCTTTTGATGACTCAAAGATCCTATGTAGGCATTTTACGGCGTAATAAACGTTACCACGCCGCGTAGTACTTGGCAGCACGTTGGCGAAATATTTTTTACGGTTGCCTCGTGAAAACTTACAACTTTGATATGTACTCCTTCTTCATCTGGATGTGGCTTGAGAGAGGTCAGTTGAAAAGGGTCAGACGTCAGCTTGTACATAGGTTTCAGGTCCATGAATCAAGAAGGCATTAATGTAGAAGCCAAAAGAAGCACCAATATTACGGTCCCATATACCTTGTACAATTACAGCATAGGCTGCCTCAAACAGACCTCCAAATGACATTATTGTCAATTATTGAGGCCCCTGCAGTATGCTCCTTGTAGAGCAAATGAATTTTTACAGCTTCCGTCGCATGAAGAACTGATTTCTGAGTAGGTGAGGCTGAAGGCTTTGAAGCCATGGGAAAGCGGGCTCTTGACCAGAGGGACAACCAGGGCATCCTTAAACTGCTTGTTGGGTCGCACCTGGTGGAGGTCAAGGTTGGCGAGTCCAAGGAAGTTTTTACACATTACGGGGGAAGGATTCAGGTAAGCTGCTCGGCCGACAAGAAATGCTCCGTTTACAAATGCCGGCATTGCCCATCATGCTTTGCGGGTGATGCGCGCCGCTTGTCTCGGCACTTTCTACCGGTAGGCTTGCCAAAAAAGGTTCCTTGCACGCAGATGGAATGGAGTCGGCGTTGCCAAGGGTTTTCTATGACGCTCATGGCCAACGGAGCTCACTAAAGTCGTCGTGCTGGAGGCTGGCAAGGGGTTGAGCTCATGAGGCGAGGTTTGGACTCCTTGAAATTTGTTCTGAGCACGGCAGTCAGAATCAGTTTGACCCGTTTCATCCAGGATTTCACCTTCTGTTTTGGGGGTGCCAAATTGACCTTTTCTGCGTGCTTAAACTTCATTGTCACTAAGTACAGTTCTGAGGGCTTCAAACTACACGACAACGTCTGCCTTCTTCACCCAACCGTTAGCCGTTAGCAAGTGCGTCATGAATCCTTCATTGTTTCCCATTGTTTCAGCAGAGAGGCCTCGCGGCCTGTGCTAGTTTGGAGGGGTCAAAACCTTTACTCTCACCTTTCGTTTGGGGGTGCCCAACCTACTTGCCAGAAGGGCCATGAACGAATGTCAGATGGTGCCTCAGCCAAACTGGTGGGCTGAATTACAATTCTGAGGGCTTGAAACCTGGCCACAGAACCCAGCTTCTCAGATTCGTACTAGCCAGCGTATTATGACATGCCTCATGTGCTTTTCTGTGGTTCAGCAGGGAGGGAGCACGGTCTCCAACACTTTGGAGGTATTGAAACTTGTAGCAAGGCACCTCCTTCAGCTGCTGCTATGAGATCCAAGCCGCTCAAGAAGCCGGCGTCGTGCGGCAGCAAGCCCACATCAAGCAAGGGCGCGCAGCAGACAAGGAGGTGTCTGAACAACCGGTCAAGAAGCAAGGACGTGCAGCGGACAAAGAAGTCTACGAGCAACAGACTTCCGTGTTTAGCTGCGTTCTCGAGAAGAACAAAGTGGAGAGCGCCGCACGGGCAACCCTTTCCCTACTAGCACCCAGCATGCTGCACCCCATGCTTATCTCTGCCACTGGCGTGCGCTGCCTCCACGAGGCGGCGGAGGAGACCCTGGCCGAGTACTGGTCCGCCGTGCATGCCGGCTCGCGACATGCAGAGAGGTCTGAGATCATCATGCAGGACCTTACTTGGGTATTTCCCAAACCACCAAAAGGATCCGACAAATGGCGTGCCCCGACAATCCCATAGATTTGCCAACGTGGCAAAGTCTTCATTTTTTGGGAGTTCATTTGTGGATCCTTTGGGGGGGGTTAGGTCTCTCGTGGCCCTAAAGCGCAGTATCCTAAACCAGAAAACCTGTCACCCTTATCTCCCAGGATGTTATCTTTGTTCGGCACTTGATGGAAATCATTACGCCTGGCATGCTCAGCTTCTTCAAGGAGCGAGGGGACACTTTGAGACCTTAAACCAGGTAGTGCAGATGACGACTTAAGAAGAAAACCAGCAGGACCCACGTGTCAAGCGCCAACTCATCGAGCAGTGGGAGGTGCCTCATTGCTTCAGATGTTGTTTCGTACCCTTGAAACTACACTTGGAACTATAGGCAGACAATGGTTTTGGGGCTGCCGAACATATTTAGAAATCCTCGATACGTGGTTTGGGTGGGTTTCAGCAGTAGTGTTGCTTGCTTGTAGTTGGTTGTAGGCGAGGTTCATTGGGTCACCATAAGCAAGTTGCTCCAGATATTGTTTCGTACCCTTGAAACTACACTTGGAACTATCCCTGTGTTGATTACTGCTGCATCGGTTTGGTGTAGTGGTTTTGGGGGGTCTCAAATTAGCCCGGCTTTTTCGATGGAGGTCTGACGCATTCCGTGCAGGCAGACAGTAATGCTAAACTGTTTTTGACGGTTTTGCGGTCGTGTCTGCCAGTTTCACTTTTGGTGGGCTGTAGGCTGGTGAGGTTCTGTTGTTCACGCAAATCCGATTGATTCAGATGGTTTTTCATACCTGCGAAAGTACACTCGGAGATGTCCCCCTCTAAACTAGTGCTTCATTGCTGGCTTTCGGGAGCTCAAACCTCTTGTTAGATGCAGAGCTCTTTGATGAAGCTATGGTCCGTGTAGGCATGCCATAGTTTCGGGGGTGCCAAGCGCTGCCAACTGGCGCCAGTGTGTTGATGGAATGCCTTTCGTAGGTTTGGGTGCCGGCTTTTGGGGA